AGCACTAGTGGCACCGGCAGCGACCCGTGTGCCACCGGGCCGGCCTGCAGCACCGGATCCGGCGCCGCACGGACGTCGCGGAACGGGAACACGTTCGCCGCCATGTTGAAGCGCGCGCCCAGCCCCGCCCCTCGCCGCACAGTCCGCCTCGTCGCCGCGAGGCCCCGCCCTCGACGTCACGCCGTCAGTTTAGGCCCTAAAGTACTCGAAAGCCTTCTCTCGGGAAGCCCAGCCAACCTCTCCACCTGACTCGCCCCTGGTGCTCCAGGCTGCCTTCGGGACCGCTGGGCCCCGCCCACCCTGGCTGCGTAATTCTGCCGTAGCTCAACCTCGCTTCCCCACAGCCTACGAGTGGCCACGCCCCTTCGCCCTAGCCGGGACTGCTGTCCAGGAAACCCCGCCTCTAATGCGTAACGCCGTCAGGCTCCGCCCCTTCTTGGCCTCCTGACTCGGCGGCACGCTCAGTGGCCGAGTTCCTCACCTGCCACGCCGGGTTTGCTGGGTGTTCGCCCTCCACCGCCGGCGGCCCCGCCTCTTCCTCGCTGCTGCGCCCTTGGCCTTGCGACCTGGGAAAAATAGCCCCTTTCCCTTTTGACTTCCTTCAGGTTGTCAAGGAAACTCAGACTCTGGGGTACTCACTATTCAATTTCTTGACCTGGAAGCTGGCTGTGCAGGTGTGTTCACTTTGTGAAAAATCTTCAAGCTGTACACTTACAATTTGTGCACTTTTAAGTCTGTGTGTTAAATTTTATAATACAATACATGAAGTTTAAAAATAGATTTATTTACTAACTCCCACAGACTGTGTCGTCTAAGACCTCAGACACAGAGGCAAGAACTAATCAATCATTCCCCAGTTGTTCCCTTTCTTCGAGTGGCCTAACTCACCCACGTGGTCTTTCATCTACCTAGATGTGACCATGTGACCACGTTCTGGCCAATGGGCATGGGATCGGAGGTGATGTGACCCACTCTTAGTTTTAACTCTCCCAGTTTTAACCTTTGGGCATCCTCTTCCGCCCCCATTTCGCCTCCTTCTGCTAGCTAAGTGGGTAACAAGAATTAGAGCAGCTTCCTTGAGACTATCCTATCAGCTCAGGAACACTTAAGTTGGGAAAATATCAAATGAATTATAAAAGGTGGTTCTGAATAGACATCTTTTGTGAGAGATAAGACCCCACCCCCCAAACCTTTCTCAAGATTCTCTGTAAACACTTCTAGGCCACATTGGGAGCCAGCCTAGTGGCAAAAATCAGATTATGTTGTCTTCCCATTGTTTAGACATCTGAAGGTACCCCTGATTAAGTTGGGAAAGAAGGGATGAGTGGAACATAGAGACCAACAAATATAAGTGAATGTGAGTTTAAGAAATGAAAAAAATTCAAGATATACTTTTTTTTTTTTTTGAGTTGGAGTCTCACTTTGTCCCCCAGACTGGAGTGCAGTGGCCACTCCCGGTCACCGCAGCCTCGGCCTGCTGGGCTCTGGCGATCCTTCCACCTCAGCCTTCTAAGTAGCTGGAACTACAGGTGCTCGCTACCACGCCCAGCTAATTTTTGATTTACTGTAGAGATGAGGTCTCACCAAGTTGCCCAGGTGGGTCTTGAACCTGCGGGCTCAGGCAATCCACTCACCTCAGCCTCCCAAAGGCACGGGATTACAGGCTGAGCCACCGAGCCCAAGATATACTTTTAAAAGAACTGAAGGCAATACAGTGTACTGCATAGTGAACTCCCTTTAGGAAAGGGAGGAAAGACATACATATTTGGTTTTGCTTGTATTATCCTGCAGAGAGAAACTAATAAAAGGGTTTACCTATAAGGGAAGGAACAAGATGGGTGGGTCAAGTGTGGGGGAGACTTTTTCATTTTTGAACCATGTGAATGCATTACTTTTCAGGGAAAAAAAAAAGCACTATATTTGAATGAGGTAGATTGAATTGTTATTCCCATTTCTTCACTCTTTCATAATAGGATTAACTGGGGAGACAGTATAGGATTATAGACTGCATAGGATATAGGATTATGCTGGACTTTGTAAAAAATTGTGTATTCTTACATGTCTAAACTTCAGTCACCTTCAAAGTACTCTGATGCAATACACCTATCAAGACACTTTTTCCACTGCTCAGAACAGTTTTTGAACTCATCAATTTTGATGACTTTTAGTGTTTTTGCTGTTTTTTGTTTGACCTCTTCCACATTGGCAAATGTTTCCCTTTGAGGACTTTTTTCATCCAGAAGGCCAGTAGCTTGGGGCCAGATTGGGTGAATAAGAAGAGTCAGGCATGGGAGTCATGCCATTTTTTGGTCAGAAACTTCTGAACACTCAGTGTGGTGTGGGCAGATGGGCTTATAAATCACTCATCATGAAATGGGCAGCCTTGTTGAAAGAATCCAAAAAAATTCACTGAAGCAAGATGTGGGCTCTCACAACAATGCTAGCTGGTACACTAATACCAATGGGTTCCTCAAACACTTAACTATCAGGGAAAGCCTGTACTACAAGGGACCCATCCTCCAAAAGATAATTCTGGTTTTTGGGGGGTCTCCTCTCATACATCCATGCTGATACTGATAGGCTAGTATCAACCTCAGGTGAGATTCTCAGTCTCAGTCCAATATTCAGGTTCTTGACCCCATCACAAAAAAGAATCCGGGACGAGTCGGAATAAAATGAAAACAAAAGCAAAAACATTTTGTTGTAAAACAAAATTTCTCACTCAAGAGAGGAGGAGTCATCCCAACAGGGTTCAGGGGTTTCTTTTCATAGCTATCTCAAACAAAGTGATGGAATATTCATATTAGGGACAAGAACATTGTTGAATTTTCCAGGAAAGAGGTGGGGTTTTCCTAGAATTAAGTACCCTTCTCCTTTCTGCTCGTATTCAATCATAACTGGAGCTGTCATGGCACTGGTAGGTGTGTCATTTCGTTTGCTAAGGTATTACAAAGAGAGTATAATGAGCTTGAAGGTTACTTGTTGGTCAAATCCATCACTATGTAGGATTAAACTAGATCAAACTAGGGACAGACAATAAATCTTATAACCAGGTTTCTGGAGCCTCTGATAAACAGGTCCCTTTTCTTATCAGTCATGTGATTTCTTAACTGCTCTCTGATATTTTTCCATTTTCCTGTGACCACTCAGCACTCTTCCTATCTCATTCTTCCCCCTCAGAGATTTCTATCTCTTATTCTTTGGAGGTCAGTCTTCTGTATCTACTTCCTACTGATTTAAGAGCATTGACCCTGCCTACCAAGGGAGTGGAGGTCTGTAGCTGTCTGGTTTTAGGGGCCCAAAGATAGATTAGCAGGAGAGTCTGAGTCCGAGGCAGGAGTTGGCTGGAATCTTCACATGATCATCATCTTTACATGGAACTGTTGTAACCTAGAAGATAAAAATTTCACAAGCAAGTTAATATGCACAGGCCAAATATTAACAGTAACTAAGATGACCATTAACAGTCTTGGCTTCTGTGTTTCTGAAAAGGAGCTTCAGGTCTTCCACAGGCTCACAAGAGTATTCCTGGTCCTCAGTTTTCAGTAGAGGGTTCTGTGGAAACTGAGGGGAGACAGTTTTTACTCTAGAGAGATGTACTCAACTGACAGTTCCCCGTAGTTTAACTGCACTGGGGGTACTTAAAAGCACCTGGTAAGGGCCTTTTTATTTTTATTTATTTTTTTAATTGGCATCTCACTGTGCCACCCAGGCTGGAGTGCAATGGCACACTCATGGCCACCACAGCCTTGACCTGCTGGGCCCAGGTGATCCTTCCACCTCAGCCTTCCGAGTAGCTGGTATTATAGCCATGCACCGCCACTCCTGGCTGATTTTTTTTATTGTGGAGATAAGTTCTCGCCAAGTTGCTCAGGCTGATCTTGAACCTGTGGGCTCAGGCAATCCTTTCACCTAGGTCTCCCAAAGTGCTGGGATTATAGGCATGAGCCACTGTGCCCTGCCTGCCTTTTTATTTTAGTTGGAGCTGGCCAGCTGACAACCCCTCCTTCCAAGTTTTTAGTAAAACTAGGTATCCTGGGATAATTTTTGTTGGCAGATTTTCTGGATCAGGAGATGAAGAAGCCTTATTTCCATATTCTATCAAAGCCTTATGTACTTGTCCAAGATTTATTATATGTTTGATTGGTTCCTGTGTTTCTGGATCAAAGAGAATGTCTGAGGTGAGGAAAGACCTTCCACATAGCATTTCAAAAGGACTAAGTTGTAAGGTGCTTTTAGGGGCCATCCTAACCATGAGAAGGGCTATAGGCAATATTTTTTAATCAAGGTTCTGAAGTTTGTCGGCATGATTTGGCCACAGTTTTCTTAAGATGGTGGTTGGTCTTTTCTACCTTGACTGATGACTGAGACCTCCAAGATGCACGGAGATGATAAGAAATTCTCAGTGTAGTGGGCACTTGCTGTGTCACTTTGTAACAAAGGAGGGACCATCATCACTCTGCAGGGACCTGGAGAGCCTAAAGCAAGAAATGACCTCTTTAGTCGGGCTTTTGAAACCTCCTGGGCCTTTTCTGTTCTTGTTGGATAGGCCTCAGTTCAACCAGTAAAGGTGTCAGTAAAGACTAGCAAGAATTTAAATCCTTGTGAACGTGGCATCTGAGTAAAATCAATCTGCCAGTCTTCACCTGGGTACTTGCCTTTTCACTGAACAGGGCTTAAGAGTGAGGATGACTTAGTTCCTCCCCCAGGGTCATTGAGAATACAAAGAGGATAGGTTCTGGTGACTTCTTCAACAGTGTTGGATAATCCCTTTCTGCTAGGGTGACTAAAGTAGTCATGGCACCTCTCCCCAAGTGGGAGGAATTGTGCATTCCCTTAATGATTTTCTAATTGGGAGGCCTGAGGAAGCATGATCTTAAGACCCTGTGTCCACCAACTGCTAGGTTCCTTGTTATAACCTCTTTGTATTGCCTATTTTATCTCAGATCAGGTATATTCTGGGCTTAGTCCTGGGTTGTCAGGCTGTGACCATCAGTTCAGCGGTGGCCTTATGGCAGCCTTATCTGCCAGGGGGTTTCCCTTGATTATAGTGGATTTTTTCCTTTATAATAGATGACAGCCATTTCCAATGACTCCTGAACTGCCTGTAACAACAACAAAATCTCTGAGCTGTACTTTTAGGAAAGTTTTTGGCTATCAGCAG